CATTCACCCTTTTTTTTAATACAAATTTGGCGGCACGTTCTGAAAACTTCACCATCCCCTTAGTGGAGAGAAAATAGCCTGTTCGAAAAGGCAGGCACCTCCCAATTTACACTGCTTACAGCACCCCATACTGGTGGCATTTTTTTTTTTTTTTTTTTTATTTTTTTTTTACTGCTGGCATCCTTCATTTAAAGTATAAAGAGGCCAGTCCGAATGCACCTGACTGACGGCTGAAAGTTTTTTCTTTTTCTTTTTTTTTTTTCGGCTGAAAGTTGTTGTAAACATGTCACTGGTGACATACAGATGAAGAGTTCGAGAACTGCTGCATACAATAATGATGTGAGGCTTCAGTAAGAACGGGGACACACAAACACATAGTGATGCGCAGAAACAGGCACGCACAGACAAAGATCGTCACAAAGAGGCAGACACGTCGACGAAGACAAGGATGACGCGGTGCCTGCTCTTATCAGCACCCCTAGCACCAACTCGGGCCGTATTAAAAAAAAAAAAAAAAAAAAAAAAAGACAAGGATAACGCGGTCGCTTCGGTGTGTACACCAGAAGACGTTCGAATTCAGCGTCCACGCTGTGTTTCCAAAGAGAAGTTTCTAAACATAGAAAGGGGATTAAAAACCTCTCTTGCCAACAGCAGTAGTTAGTGGTGTAATAATCTCGACCGAGTGGAGTAATCAATATGGGGTAATCAGTGTGGAGTAATCACTCGAGTAATTAGTGTGCATTAATTAGTGGAATAATCGGTACACTAATCAGTGGAGTAATGACTGCAGTAATCAGAGTGCAGCAATCAGGGGAGTAATCAGCGTAATCAGTGGAAGAATTATCAGTAGCGTAATCCGTGGAGTAATCAGTGGGGTAATCGGCGGAGTATTCAGTGCAATAATCAGTGCAGCAATCAGTGCAGCACTCGATGGAGTAATCAATACAGTAATCAGACTAATCAGTACAGTAATCAGAGTAATCAGTAGAGTATTCAGAGTAATCAGTGGAGGAAATATCAGTGGTCAGAGGATTAATCAGTGGAGAGTAGCCAGTGGGGTAATCAGCGTTGAGTGATCAGCTCGGAGTAATCACTGAAGTAATCAGTGGGGTAATCATTTCAGTAATCAGTACAGTAATCAGGACAACCAGTGCAGTATTCAAGAGTAATTACTGTAGGAATTATCAGCGGTCAGGGGATTTATTAATCAGTGGGGTAACCAGCTTGGATAAATCAGCACGGAGTAATCAGAGTGGAGTAATCAAAGTGCAGTAATCAATCAATGGAGTAATCGAAGTGCAGTAATCAATCAATGGAGTAATCAAAGTGCAGTAATCAATCAATGGAGTAATCAAAGTGCAGTAATCAATGGCGTAATCAAAGTACAGTACTCAATGGAGTAATCAAAGTGCAGTAATCAGTGGAGTAATCAGATGGATTAAATACTCGACAGAAGACTACTGTTGGCATCATCATCATCATCATCATCATCATCATCATCATCCATCACCAATCATCATCATCAATGAACAATCATCATCATCATCATCATCATCATCAATCACCAATCATCATTACCATCGATCACTATCATCAACTGACGTCATCATAACCCATCATACTCATCATCAACGATGATAAACCATAACCAGCGCCACCTACCGTCTTCCCCCGAACACAACGCACCCTTATTTTGTCTGTATCTGGCCGGAAATATAGCTTGTATACATTCATTTTTAGGGTGCGTTAGTCTTCCCCGAATTCAAAGCAACCTCAGCATGACTGTATCTGACTGCAAATACTGCTTGTATACATTGCTGATTAGCGTGCGTTGTAATCGGGTGGACGACGAGGGGCAAAAGTCAAAAGACACCCGCAGCAGCGGGGCCAGTGTCATCATCAATCCCCATCGTTCCCACCTGGTCCGGTTCTCTTCACCTGGTCCGGTTCTCTTCACCTGGTCCGGTTCTTTTCACCTGGCCCGGTTCTCATCACCTGGTCCGAATCTGATCTGAAAGCGCGGGAAAGCTTGGGGGTAATCGCCTTGCGGATACGAACTCCGCTGACGTGGCAAGAAAATGGCGGGAAACGCCTTAGCAGGCCTGCCGGTGTGGAGGGCGGGAAAATGACTTCGAATTTTTTTTTATAAAGGAAAGGGAAAACAAAAAAAAAGAGAGGAAAAAAAAGGAAGAAGGGCCATCTCTACTTAATCGTCTATTCGATCCACCACACTCAGGGCATACTCACACCAGGACTCTTTTTTCCCTACTTCTGGACGTAATTGCGGTCAGATACATCCAAGTAGAGCCGCAACTACCGTCTTCCCCCGAACATAACGCAGCCTAAAAATGAATGTATACAAGCTATATTTCCGGCCAGATACAGACAAAATAAGGGTGCGTGGTGTTCGGGGGAAGATGGTAAGGTCAGATACATTTACAGTAAGATTGTGCTTGTGTGCATGGCTCCGATTAACCTGTTCCTTGCTGAATTTGGTAAAAGGATTCGAGGAACGAATCGGTTGATTGGTATGCAATCCGTCTTCCGTTTGATTTCTTGAGTCATACCCTCTTCACTCGAATAGAACGCCGCCCATTCATTAGCAATTATCGCTGCATCTTAACAAAAAAAAAAAAGGCTGAAAGTTGCCACAAATGCATCATTATAATACTAATTAATGACCGGGCGTTCTATTCGGGTGAAGACGGCAGGAAGAAGAAGCAAAAGCAGCGACGAAAAAAATCTGCCAAATACGGTATAATGACCCCCCTACCGAATTCCGCCACAGTCCATAATTTCCCCAACCCTGTATGCCGTGGAGCGGGGTCTCTCTCTCTCTCTCTCTCTCTCTCTCTCTCTCTCTCTCTCTCTCTCTCTCTCTCTCTCTCTCTCTCTCTCTCTCTCTCCACCATCTTCTCCCCCCTGTTCGTCCTCCCGTTCCTCCTCCTACTCCCGCT